CTACTAAACCAGGATGAAAAGTTTTTCTCTTTCCCCAATTTCTTCCCATAAACAAACTAACAGGATTAACCCCTGACACTCTCACTCTCCTTCAGGTTTATTTCAGGACCTAGGAAGATCACCACCACCTCCAGAGCAGGTCCTGCAGTGGAAAAGGAGAAACCCTACATGCTGTGATCCCAAAGGTGATTTCCTTGGAGGGTGGTTACAGCACCCTGGGATACTCTCCTTTAGTCTCTCCCCTGTGTTTCCTGTCTTCACAATTCGCTCTGAGCCTGCCAGGTCATGGGTGGAGAGAAGGAAAGGCTGGTGGAGGGAAAGGATGGGGAGGGGTGGTACAGGAGTGGGGTTGGGCTGGTGGGGGCTAACAGGGTGGAAGGGTTGGTTAGGAGAGTGATGCTGGAAGTGATGGAGATGATGATGCTGTAGAGTTTATACAGAGAGCACAGGTGCTGAAATGGGGGTGGATGGTGAGGCTGGAGGGTTGGGAGAGATGGATGGGATGGTGGTGGTGGCTTGGCTGGGGATGGAAGGAGGGGGGGGGATGGAAGAAGGTGCAGTGTGGGACTGCTGGGGAGAGCTGGGAGTGGTGGGAATGCTGGAGGGACAGAGATGCTGGCGGAGCAGGGATGCTGGCGGGGTAGGGATGCTGGCGGGGCAGGGATGCTGGCGGGGCAGGGATGCTGGCGGGGCAGGGATGCTGGAGGAACAGGGATGCTGGCGGGCGCGGCGCTGCCGGTCCCGGCGCGACTCACCGACGCTGGCCTCCCCGATGGTGTAGGTCTTGCCGGAGCCCGTCTGCCCGTAGGCGAAGACGGTGGCGTTGAAGCCGCGGAAGAAGGCGCGCAGCAGCGGCTGGACGCAGGCCCGGTACACGGCCGCCTGCCCCGCCGCCTCGGGCAGCACGGCGGCGAAGCGGAACCGCCGGCGGCCCAGCGACACCTCGCCGGTGGCGGCATCGCCCCGCAGGCAGGGCCGGTGCCCCCGCAGCGCCTCCCGGGGCAGCAGCGGCCGCACCCGCACCGCCACCCGCACCGCAGCCCCCTCCGCCGCCATGGCCGCGCCCGGCGCCCCGCGATGGCGTCAAAGGCTCCGCCCGGGCAGGGGAAGGAGGGAGGGAGGGAGAAAGGGAAGGGAGGATGTGGCGGGGTCGGGCGGCCGGTCCTCGCCAACCCCCAGGCAGCACCCGGGAGAGAGCGGCCGGGGGGGGAACGGGGATGCGAGAGGGCTGCGGGGGCTGTGCGGTGGGTCCGGGCAAGCGGTGGGTGCTCCCGACGAGCTCTGTCGCTCCAGAGATGCTCCATCACTCGGGAGATGTTCCATCATTTGTAGGATGCTCCATCACTCACAAGGGACTCTGTCCCTCGTGCGGTGCTTCATCACGTGTGGGACAACGCTCCATCAGTCGTGAGATGCTCCATCTCTCGTGAAACAATGTTCCCCAACCCCGTGAGGTGCGGGAGAGTCACTTACAAGGGGCTCCATCTCTGATGAGGTGCTCCGTCCCTGACGAGACTCCCCAGCACTTGTCAGACACTCCTCCACTCCTCGCGGGCATTCCCACGGTCGCCATGGGGAAGGGACAAGGGGCTACGTGGCGCTGCCAAGGGGCAAAGTGCTCGAGGTGCAGGCGTGGGCACCTCCTGGGATGCAGTTTGCAGAGCAGCTGGTGCAGGCAGCCGGAGCTTCCCGGCCGCCTGCTGCGCTGGGGGCTGGCACGGCCGGCTCCAGGCACTGACGTATGTTCAGGACAGTCTGAGCGATGACAAAGTTTTTCATCCGGCTGCCTGCAGTTCCCTCTGCACCGCCCCTGCGGCTGCGGGGAGGGGTATGGTCCTCGCGGGTCCCCTGGGTGCCGTGGGAAGCACTGGACTGTCGGCTGTGCCGAGAGGAGTTGTACACACACTGCTGGGACTGCTGGAGAGCCACGGCCACGCTCGGAATGGGGCTCCGGCTGCCTCTGCGCCGGAGCACCAGCTTCACCCCCGACCACCCTGCCCTCATGGAGGTGCCTGGCCCCACTGCCCTGAAGATGGAAGCAAATGTCCTTGTTATGGGAGCGGACAATGTGGGGAAATCAGGTGAGCTGGGAGCATGAGGTTCCCAGGCTGCAAACTGCATCAGTGTTTGGAGAACCAGCTGCAGGGAGCAGCCTGTGGAGCAAACTGGTGAGATGGGGCTGAGCCCTTGTGATTTGAGCTGGGGAAGGTGAGCACAACCTTGTAGGCATCGGGTGAGGGACGAGGGAAGGTATTTTCCACTGAGCTGCAGTTTGCTGATGCGGTGGGGTCATGCTGTGCCTCTGCTCCGCTCGCAGACTGCTGGTGGCCAGGGGAAAAACAGAAGCCGTTCATGCTGTTGGGAGTTTACAGGGGGATAGTGCCTGACTCTGCTCTGAATCTAGAAAGGAGAATTCTTCTGGTTTAGGGCTATTCTGGTGATTCTTATCTTTCCCTCTGCAGCTCTGACTGTGCGTTTCCTGACCCGGCGCTTTATCGGGGAGTACGGAGACATGGGTGAGTGCCAGGTCAGGTTCCCATTAGGGACTGGGGTCAGGAGGCAGCCCTGCTTCTGCCCACAGGATTTCCTTCCTGCCCATCCTCTCCTGCCTTTCTCCAGAGCCTTTGCCTTCTCCCAGAGGCTCAGTGGTTGTATTTATTCGCTGAACCATCTCTTTGCTCCAGAACTGATTCTCTGGGGTGCAAAAGGTCCCGGGTGGCAGCTGGTGATACCATGAGGATAACTTTTTTTTTTTTGGGGGGGGGCGGCAGAATTCATCTACAGCCACAACGTGACGGTGGATGGCCGAGAAATTCTCTTCCACATCTGGGATGCCCCCAATTCTCAGGTGAGAGGACTCCACTCCTGTCACCCATTTCCACTCCAGGGACAAAAAACGCTTTATTGAAAGTTACCTGTGGGAAACCACAGGCTGGGACTTCTAGTTGAGCAAAGCTCACACATCAGAGGTGATCAAACCCTTCTCATCTGCCGAGCATGGGGCAGCAGCAGGGTAGCAATAGTCACTGTAGCCCATGGTCCTGTGACTGAGGACATTGAAGCTGAAGCGCTAATACTGCCAGCCCAGAGTGAGGACAGGATTGTGCTAGAGAAATGGAAATGCTGCTCTGAGGTCCCCATGCTGTTTTCACCTACAGCCTGCAGTGCTTGGCAGCTGAGTGAGGAGGTGAGGACAGTGATGCTGAAGGCCAAATTGTCCCCCTTGGTGAGGTCTTCCAGGTGCTACTCTGCCTTTTCAGTACTCCTCTTTCTCTCTCCCCTTTTGCTGTTTGTTAGGCTTAGGATTGCTGCACCCTCTTCTAGCAGGTAGGTGTGGAGGAAGGAAGCCAGATAAAAACGCCCTCCCTTTTCTCTTTCCCCAGGAGCAGACAGAGGATGGCTCCTCAGAGGAGAAGCGAATCCAGTGGGCAGACAGCTTTGTCCTGGTCTATAGTATCTGTGACCGTGCCAGTTTCAACATCCTGCCCCTTAAAATCCAGTTCATCAAGGCAGCCAAGGAGGGGCAGAGCCAGGAGAAGGTGCCCATCGTCATTGTGGGCAACAAACGGGACCTGCACCACCAGCGGGTGGTGTCCAGCGAGGAGGGTCGGCTCCTCGCCCTCTCTTTAGACTGTGGTTTCTATGAGGTCTCTGCAGCTGAGGCTTATCATGGGGCCCTCATGGTCTTCCATGGACTGGCCAAGCGCATCCCAGACACTAAACTGGCACTGAAAAAGGGTACAGGGATCCGTGGCATCGTCAAGACCATGTCGGCTGTGTTTACCCGCAAACGAACGGACTCCCTCTGAGCTATACCGTGGATGTTGCTGCTCTCTGTGCTGCCCAGCTGGGCCAGGCCTCCTCCCTGGGTGGCCATGGAGGTGGTGTGAGTCTTTCCATAAGTACAGTGGGTTCCTTGCTGTCCTTCTAATGTCAGGGTCTGGGTGTCCTGCCATACACAGCCGATGCAGCCGAGGACTGAATGCGTTACTCTTGGCTCTGTGATGGGACAGAATCTCTACTCTCTGCTGTACCAGCTTTTTAGGTGCCTCCTGCTTATTCCTTCTATCCCCCAACACTGGAAACCACTGGGCGATTTTGCCACAGCTCCAGGCAGCAGCATCCCCAGTTCCTGCAGCAGGAGCTGCCCAGGCTGTCAGTGAGCAGGGGTGACACGCTGCTTCTGTACAGCACCCTAGTCCTTGTCTCTCCACTCCTACCCTGGGATCCTTATTCCTGTTAAATGCTCGTCAGGATCCTCTCCAGTAACCCTGGAGCACCCGTGAGCTGTCGAGGTGGGGGTTTCTCCACTGGGAGTCACTGGCAGTTCCCACGTGTGTCTCACTGTGTCCCAGAGCCCATGGCTCCAGCTGACCCTGGAGGTCCTTGGTGAGGGCTGATGCCTCCCATCCTACCCGCCTTGCTTTTGAACCGTCCTCTCTCCCACAGCCTTTCAGTGATCACAGCCTTTCCCTTGTGCGAGTGAGCGCTCAACAGGCTGTGCCTGGGAAAAAACAGGCACTGGGCTTGTTCCCAGGATGGGGATTGTACCACAGGCCTTCTCAAGCCACTCCTTCTGTAAGGCTGCCTCTCCCTGGGGAGGAAAGGAGGTGGGAAAGGGGGTGTCTGGGCTCGTCGCTGAACCCTTCTGCTGCTTGGAGGTTTTTCCTGCCTCTCCCCAAACCCTTCCCCTCGTGCCCTGGGAAAACTGTGTTGGAAGAGGGTTTGTGTGTGCTGTATGGACACTTGATTTCTCTGCTGTGTTCTTCTGGAAATGCAATAAATTGTGTTTGGCAGGAAGCCCTGGCTCCTTGGAGCTGTGAATTCATACTTGGGGCATGGGAAGAAGCACGTACTGTGCTGGGCATGAGCACCCACTGTCCCTGTGGCAGCTACCTGAGGGTGTTTCCCGCACCCACTCCCTTGGCCCTGGTTTGGGGGTCTCACCCCACTCTGTTCCCTTGGTTTGGTGTCTCACTTCCATAAAGCAGCCGAGCAGATGGGGCGAGCAGCAGGTAGGAAGGTTTATTATTGCAGTGAATACAACAACGCATTGTGGGAAGCCAGGTGATCCTGTGGGAGAGTGGCTCCAGGAGCTCCATTGTTTTCATCAGTCATTTTCCTGACCCCACCATCTATCCCACCACCAGCTGGGAGGGAAAGCTGGGCTTTCCTACTCATGAATCCTGCTGGTCAGTGGGAATCTTCAGCCCCTCCATGGAGGAGCAATCTGTGGCCAGGGATGGGCCCTGCAAGGGGAGATGGAGGGAGGAAGGACAGGGAACCAGGCTTGCTATGGTGATGTTTGATGGCTTTGCTGTCCTCCCTGCTCTCTCAATGTGAAGCCCATATAAGTCCATGCTATCTGCTCAGCAGGGACCAGGGTAACCCAGTGCTAGCCCTGGCTGGTCCCTTTTCCTCTTTTCTGATCTCACCATTCTTTCTACACCTCCTTCACCTCACCGCTCCCCTCTGGTCCCACCTCCCCCTACCTTCTCCTTCCAGCAGCAGGGCTTTTGTCTGCCTTTACTACCTCACCCTGACCTTGATGCACATCCTATGGCCTGTCTACCACTTACAGCTCCTGTCCTGGTACAGGGGTGCATGTGGGCAGCTGGCAGGGGGCCTGGGCAAAGCATGCTGTGGGGGGATTAGAAGGGGGGTGGGATGTGCTTGTCCTCCCCACTAGCTCAGTCTTTCTTGAAGACAGGAGTGTAGAGGTTGCCATAGTAAGCCCGGCTGTACATGGGCTCGGGGCTGAAGCGGTAGGAACCCTCACTCACCCGCCTGTTGTAGGGGGAGAAGGCGGATTTCCGCAGGAAGGGGTACTCGGGCTCGAAGGCAGGGCTGCGGTAGTAGTTGTGCCGCAGGAAAAGGGGGTCCTCAAGCCCCAGGAAGGAGAGGGGGTGATGGCCACGGTACCGCCAGTCGCCTCTCAGCTGGGATTTCTCCTCAGTGGAGGGGGCAGCAGCCTTGGTGTCCTCCTTCTCTTCCTTCTTCTCTGTCTTCTCCGGGTCGGACTTGCTGCCCTTGGATGCCTCCGCTTCCTTCACTGACTGCCTGCGGAGCTGAGAGATGGGGTGAGGACCCAGCCAGGCTGTACCCACCTGCCAGCCCTGCCCTACCTGTGCTACACAGCCCCCCACCCCAAACTGGGAGAACCTCAGGATAAGCCAGTTTGCCCCCAGAGGGGCAACCCCTGAGCAGCTGTGGTGGAGAAATGATCCCAGGGGAGCAACAGGGTGGGGTAAAGAAGAGGGGACATAGTCTCAACATGAACTTGCACCTTCCCAGAAATGTGTGGTCACACCCTGGCTTGGAAATGAACTGTGTGAAGGTGCCACCACTGTCCAACCTATTGCTTCTATTGGGGAACTACTGTCACAGCTTGGGGGATGCTTCAGGAGGAGGGTGGGACTGAGGTGTCCTCACAGCACCCCATCTCCCCACTCTGCTACCTCCTGACATTGCCTGGAGCTATGAGATGCTCATGGGAGGAGGCTGGGCAAAATGGGGTTTGCTGGAGAGGGACAGGACCTGGCTGGGGACAAACTCACCGGCACGAAGCTGTACAGGGTGCCCAGCAGATGCTTAGGGGCACTGACGAGGGTCCCCCCGAGAGCATCCACTGTTTCCATGGCCCTGGACAGCCTGCGGGGGGTGAAGAGGATCAACCCTTCTGCCGCATCCCAGGCCACGGCTGGGACCTTCTTCACAGTGGAGATGCCGGAGGCGCAGGCGCTTTGCAGGTTGTGAGCCACGCTGCCCACCAGCCCAGGGTCCTCCCCTGCCTGCCAAGAGAAACCAGCTCAGCTCTTGATCCTGGCCCCTTCCCCACTGGCCCCTTTGGGTCGGATGGGCTGGCCCTGGGCTCCCCTTCCCCTTCACAGCTTGAAGCCTGAGTGCTTTCAGCTCACTGCTCTGGAAGAGCCACTGCAGCCCTTTGCAGCAGGGTCGCTCCCTGTCCCCACCAGCTCCCCCCACTCCAGGCCCCCGGGGACCCTCTGCTCCAGGCTGTGCTTCCGCTGCAGGCAGAGGCGAAGGGCAGTGACCCCAACCTGCCGCTTCCCGTCCCCATGTCCCAGTGGAGCCAGTGCTGGAGACTGTTCCCAGCCCCTCCAGCTCACACCACCCCTTGCTTCTGGGACCGGGGAGGGGGTGTGTGTGTGTTCAGGAGTGTTCTGGGGCTCAGTTGTGAGCTCTGTGCTGACACCCCACAGCTCCAAAGGAGTCTTGAACATACAAGACAGCGTGACCCTGCCTGGTACAGAGGCTGCCCACAGCCCCCAGCTTTGGGGAATCAGGGAAGAGGACTGCTGGGACTGCCCCTCTGCCAAGCCCCCAACTCATCTCCTCCAAGCTGCAGTTCAGGGTTCAGTGGGGATGGGGGCCTGTTCCCCAAGGGTGTGGGGGAAACAGCCTCCATGGTCCATGGGTAGGAGGATGCTTTGGGGTATCCCTAGCTCACTGCCCTCCTTTTCTCCATACCTTGCTGTGGTTGTTGTCTTTCTTCCCTGCCTTCTCCTGCTTCTGCTGTGGTGCCTTGCTCTGCCGCCGGCTCAGCCAGCCGCCCGTGCTGCTCTGCCCGTCACTGTGGGCCGGCGGTGCCGCGGGTATGCTCGGCTTGGCCAGGCTGCCCTGGAAGAGCAGCAAAAAGCCATCTCTCAGAGGGAGCTGGCAGGTCCCATCCACTCCATCCTGCTTAGCCTGAGGATTTTTCAGGGACCTTGGGGTGCACAGGGAGCAGGGAGTTCATTTGTGTACCCGAGGAGAAACCCCAATGGCAGACGGGAGCTCTGGGATTTTGGGAGAGGCCAGGGAAGGGGTTCCCACTGCAGCATGAGGTGGGAGAGGGCCCTCTGTCTCCTCATCCCTTCTAGGTCTCTGGAGGGGCTCTTTGCTTTAGGAAGGATGTTATGGCAATGCCATAAATCAACAATTATACACTGGGAGTCTGCTAAAAATAACTTGTCCCACTGATGTGGTACATGGTTGTGTGTGAACATCACGCAGGAACCGATGGCCCCACCTTGTCCTGCTGAGCAGGAGAAACATACTCTGTGCTTGGACTTCCTCCAAGCTGCCTGCAATGTCTCATGTGAAAATTAGCTCCAAAGAGGGTATGGGGTGCAGAAACCCAGCAGGTGGGATTTGGCACTCACCACGATGGGGATCCAGGTGGCCAGCTCCTGCCCTTTGGTTTTGGCACGCTGGAGGCTTTGAGTGGTTTGCTGGTAAGCACGGTGGGAGACAGAGCTAACCAAGGCACCAATCCGGCCCAGGGTGCTGGGAGAACTGGGAGTGCTGGGTGCACTGGGTGTGCTGCAATCACTGGGAGCACTGGGAGCACTGGCAGAGCTGGCAGTGCTGGCCTGCTGCTGGGAGACCTTTGCTGTTGACTGATGTTTCTTTTTGGGCTTCTGATCTAAAAAGCAGAAGAGCACAGGCAGAAGAATGGTGGAAAGATTACAAGCTGGTGGGACAACCCTCTGAGGCAGCCCTACACCAAAATCCAGGGGCTGCCTCCTGCCTTATACACTCCACAAGTGAGGAGCTGCCAAGCCAGCCATCACCAGACACCCTCAGAGGGGATTTAGGTATCAGGACTACCTTCTTCTTCATCCTCCTCTGGCAGCAGGTACTCCATCAACTTCTCCAGCCCTCCCAGGGCTGTGTCGACCCCCGCAGCTGCCATCTGGGTCACCGAGTTCTTCCTTGTGTACTTTGCCGTCGTTTCCACCGTGCTCTTGGTGGCCTCATAGCCCTCCGCTGCCAGCTCTATGATCTTATCCATGGAGCTGCCAATGGTGCTTTTGGCACTTTGGAGGGGGCAGGAGATGGTGTCTTTCAGTTCAGATGCAAGCTGCCAGCAGAGAGATGGAGAACAGCCCTGCTGGTGAGCTTGGGGTGGCATGGGACAGCTGGGGGAACCACAGGGACCCCAGCCATAGCCATGCCAGTAAACAGCTCGGAGAGGGGCATAGCAGCTCTCTCCTGCCTGGGCTGGAGGTAGCTGGCAGGAATGGGACACAGGACATTTTTGATCTGTATCTGGGAGCCTTCACTTAGGCTGCCTTGTTTTCCACCCAGCAGCCCCTCACCATCCAGAAACAAGACCAGAGAAGATGTGCTGTGGGGTCTGCAGTGGGAGCGGGGGTTCCAGATTGCCCCGCCTATGACTTACCTTATCAACTGGATACTGCAGGGCAGGGATCTTCTCCTCCAGGTGGTCCAAGCCACGGCAAGCCAGGCTGTTGGCCACAGCAACTACCTTGGGCAAAAGCACGGTAAGAAAAGTACCCCAGGCTGTCCAGGCACATGCTCATGCCATCACTGTCCCACCAAGGGAGGCTCTAGTGGGCACCCCTGCCATGCCCCCCAGCACTGGCACTCACACTGCGGCTCCAGCCTGCGCACCACGGGCTCCATGCCCCACATGGCCAAGGCGCCGGCACCCTGCACGCCCCGCTCGTACACCTCACACACCGAGGCCATCAGTGGGTGGGCCTCCTTGGTGCTGATGTAGGTCCGCTGGAGGCTCTCACAGGTTGAGCTCACCACTGGCAGCTGCAGGACCCTCTGCAGCACGTTCTCCTGCACATCAGATGGGCATCAGTTAGCCAACAGCCCTTCCCTGAGGAGTGCCCCATCGCCCACACACTGGTGGCATTTGATGTGTTTCAGAGAGCACAGAGCACCTCGGCTTGCACTGAAGAAGGCCATTTCTCAAACCCTATTGAGGGTCTCCTATCTATGTCCTGTAAGACATAGCCATGGACAAACAGGCTGTCTGCTGCCACTGAAGGAGGGGGACATCACAGGCAGTGTTGGAGGGATGACAGTCCCTACTCTTCCCATTTCCTAAGCCCAACTGTCTGGGTTCTCCCTCTGGCTTTCCACTCTGGTGGAAACCTCCATGTCTGATGGAGGTTTGGGGCTACAGTGGGGCCACAGATGAAGGACAGGAACTGCTGGCAGCTGTCATCCAGGGCTCACATCAGCTCAGGGTTAACCTTTTGGAATCTGAACTATTTAATTTCAAGCAAGCAAAAAGTTTTATTTTCTCCCTTTCATGATGCTCTATACTATTGCAGGTAAAGATCCATAAAGAGATAACACAGTGACATGTGGGACAGTGTGAGATGTGACTGCTGTTCACCTGGCAGAGTTGGTATGTGCTACCTGGCTCCCTTGGCACACTTCTGCCCTCCCCTCTCTCCCTCTTCTCGCACCCACCTTGGCACTTCCATTCTGCAGAGTCTGACTCTTCTTCACCGTCATCGTGGCGCATCCACCTGCAAAGCAAAGTTGGGAGCCGCAGACCCCACTGCAAAGGCAGGGCTGTGCTCAGGCTCCCTCCCTCAGTCCTGCACCCCTCCAAGCACAGCAGGGCCAGGAGCTGGGCTGAGACACACACCTCCCACGGGTGCAGTGGAGGTGGCATTGCCCAATGCTTGACTTTTTACCAGTTAAGCTGTAAAAACAATGCCTCCACACAGCCGTCCCCTGACAGTGTGTCCTAACACCTAAAGATGCACAAAATGAGCTGAGAGACATCTAGTTAGCAGTAGTTACAGTACAGGCAGGATAAAAGGCATTGGCAAAGCAAACTCAGAGTAACCAGGGTGCTGACAGACGTGCATAAGAATAGACTCAGGCTGAGAAAGAGCAGAGAGAGGAGCTGTGGGTAGGGATGTGGTGAGATGTCCAGCTGAGGTCAGCATCCCCTCCTCATACATCTGCTGTTTGTAATGTCAGTGCCTGTTCCTGTGCAGCTCCAGCTTGATGCAGGGGACAAAAGCACTGCAAAACACTCCCCACCACTGCTCCTGGTTGGGTGACAGCCGAAAACACAACTCTAGCTCCCAGCCCCAGCACAGGCTCCCTTTTCTTAGCAGCAGATGAAATTCTGAAAATCTAAAAAGAGTGAGTGATCCCTCCTTTCACCCCCCAGTCCCATTGAAGCTGTGGGCACAGGCTACTCACCGAGGGGCAGAGCAGGAGCAGAGGTTGGTGGCTGCACTGTCCCTTCACCCGGGTCCTCTGAGGGTGATGCTCTGTGCTCTGGCCACTACCACCACTACGAGGCCCCACCTCCGAGTTGCGTGGGTTTGGAAGCTGACGGATTGTGGTGGAAACTGGCCAAAAAGTTCCCTGAAGCCACCGTAATTGGGAACAGATGACGGCAGAAAATCCCCTTTGTTGTCTTCCCTGCACAGCCTGTGGTACAGCTGGGATGCACGGGGATTTAACACCACTCCTTCAGGAGAAGATGAGAAGAAGCTGCCTTTGGACTTCACCAGCTCAAAAGCAACAGATCATGAGCAGCCAGGGAGAAGGTGCAGAGTCAGGCAGAGTTTCCCAAGATATTAAAACCTTCCTGCATTTCTGTAGCCCCTGTTTTGCCCCATGGCAGACCAGGATACCATCCCCTGCTGGGAAACCTAACACAGATCAAGAACATAGTTTCTCCCCAGGAAAGTTTATTGAGCAGAAGAAGCAGAAGGCAGATGTAGGGGACACATCCTGCATTAAACAATCTGGTTTGGCCAGGTCTGCAGTTTCTAAGAGGATTCATTGGTCTTGGTGAGGAGGTTTTTAGCTGAGGGTCAGGGCAGATACTGCATTAGGCAAGCTCTAGGCATTTGGACTAGACAGAAATGGAGGGAAAAATCAAATTGGAAGTGATCTCTGGTGGTTGCATTACTGAACTCTTATTGAAAAGTAGGGCTACCCTCAAAGGTAGATCAGGGTGCTTAAGATCTTCAGTATTGAAAATCTCCAAGGACCAGATTCCCATCTCTCTGGGACTTGTGCTAACTATAATAAGGGTAAACTAGCTTTTCCTTATGTCCAGATGGAATTTTCTCTCTTGCAATTGGTGCCTGCCCTCTTCTACCTTTGCTCTGTGCACCTCTGAGCAGAATTTGTGCTCCAGTCAGTGCCGGTACAGCATGTGCTCCATTCCTCTAAATGCTTATCCTTTCAATGACTGATCCTCTGCTGGACCCTAGTCGATCTCTCCTGTGCTGGTGGGACTGAAGTAGGACACAGTTTCCCAGATGTAAGCTCACAAATGCTTCATAGAGGAACAACTGCCCTCCTTGACCTGCCAGCGACTGAAATGCTGCTCTTCCATGGCCTCGCTGCACGGGAGGCACACTGACAACTCATTCCATCATCAACAAATCCATTTGTGGTACTGACTGGAATAAGAAAAGACATCACCTGCATGGAGCTATATCAGGTCTTGGTTATTGACAATGGAGACCAAGGATGAGCCACACTGATGAGACAAGGACAACAAAGAGGACAAGTGCCAGAGGACAAGGCAATAACCAAGGGGATCAGTGCAGATGAGTGATCCAGGCAGCCTGCTGACACGGGGCTGCTGTGTGTCCTGGACCACCTGGTGTGAGGCAGGGAGACCTCTGGCACGTGGCTCAGAATGCCTTCAGCTTCCAACCACCCCGTGCAGGACACAGAGGTGTGAACCCAACATGACTCCATGGTTCCCTGCTCCTGGCTGTGCTGCCTATACATAGGGGTGGGAGACTTCCCAGGGACATGGGAAAGCCACACATGGGAGGTAAATACCCCCCCTTCCTTCCCAAAGAGTCCAGAGTTTGCTTCTAGCCTGGGGTCGTGCAAAGCTTGCAGGCCTGCCTTGCTGGCTGGGTACAGAGGCACATGAATGTGCTGGGCTGCCTCCAGCTCAGCGCTGGGGTAAGTCCCTGCCCTCCAGACAGCGGGACAAAGGGCATCAGCCTGCTCAAAAGTTTGCTCTCTTGGCACTGAGACTTTTTCCAGCCCTGCTGGCCTGGCTAAAAGTGCAGGGGGCATGCCAACCTCCTCTCTGCCTTGGCTGGAGTCAGGATCAACTGAAAACACAGCCTTTGCCCTACTAATGCTTTCGATCAGTCCCTCCCCTTCCTCTGGGGCAAAGGCTGTGCCAGCCCCAGGCTCTGCAGTGCAAAGGTACCACGGCCTCCACCACCCCAGTGCTCCAGCTCACACCAGAAATGCTTCCTGTGTCCCTGCAGGCAACATTTAGAGTTCTGTGGATCTGTGGGTGCAGGGAAGGAGTTTCACACCCTTGCCTCTGCAGTCTCCTCTGTACCATTAACATACCACGGTGAGGGGATAAGCCAGATCCCCAAAGCCCAGCAAGACTTCTTTACACTTTGGTCTGGGGGGGGGGGCTGGGGAGGTAACTCCATTTCCATGCAAGATCAGCAACCCCATAACCACTGCTGACAGATGCCTGTCCAGTTTTTTTTAAGCACTGCTTTCCAGGGCAATCTATTTAGACTTTTATTTTACTTGCAGTTCAAAAATTAAGTGTGATTTAATTCTTTGCTGCAATATAATCATGTTACCTCCTGGATGGATTTAGAGACCAAATTATTGCCTTTCTCTAGGCAGAAAACCTTTTAGACACTTGAAGACCTCACACACCCTCCCCTAGTCACCCTTCCTCTACAGAACTGGTTCATTTGGTGTCTCCCTGGAACTGTTGGTTTTTAATGTTTGATCATTCCTGCCACTCACCTGGGAATCCTTTGGAATTCCTTGAAATATCACGCCAAGCACCTTGTTAACAAGGAAGGCCTTGTCTGTAAGCAGAAGATGACCATTCTCCTGCTAACTGTTTCCATTACAAAATGTGTATAAGGCCACTAATCCAGGAGGAAACTCTTGCTAAAACATTGCTGAATGCAATGCTTTATACATTGTTCAGGAGCTGACATTTTGGAGCTTCCAAGGTCGTGAGGCCCTTACTACAGGGGATAGGAGCTAACAGTAAACTCAGTTTAATCGTTATCCTGGCTCCACCCCTTGCCATCTCTGCTGGAGATGTTACCCTTTGCTTCGTGCCCTGAACTGGCATTTATCATTAGATACTGAAAATGCAGGTGCATCCATTCCTTTCTACTGAAAATGCAGGTGCACCCAGCTTGCCTACGCTGGGCACAAGGTTCCAACCCTCACCCTCACTGCTGGTACTCAAGGGCAGCTGATGGCAATTCCCAAAATGTCACTTTGCTTCAGGGCATTCCACAGATGCAGTTTTATCTGGTAATCATATTTTTGCAGCTGAAATAGGGATTGTAAATTAGCCAGATGAATCTGGCTGCCACTTGGCTTCTGCAGAAGGAAAGCTCTATAACCCAACCAGAGACAATGTTTCTTGAACAGTATCACCACAAAATTCTGAGGTGGGAGGAATCCTCCCTCCTTCAGCATATCTTTATACCACCAAGTTACACACACAGACATGGTCTCAACACTCATTGCAGTTTATTGCTTGTGTTCAAACATCTTGTCCTTATTTCAACTGCTGTATTAGAAACAGATACAAAAAAAGGCACTAAAAGGATTTTCTCCATATGATCATGATTCTATGGCTTCAGTCACATTACATTAAGGTACCTTAAATCACCAGCCTCCAGCTGGGGAGCAGAAGGCAAATATTAGTGCTTAACATCCAGTAAACAGAGCTACTCCTGTATGTTCCAGCCTGCATCATGTAGAATGGGACAGGTAAGGCTCAGACAGGCTGAAAGCTCACCCCCCCATCTCCCACATTAAGGCTGTACTTGCTAATCCATGCCAGTACCTACAGGAGAAACATCAAAGCCTGGCTGGCTTTGTACAGTGTTTGCCTGCACAGGGAAAAACCCACCCTTCTCTGCAGGGCACAGGGGCTACATCACTATCAACATCTTTCCCCTTTCCCTGCAAAGTAAAAGAGAGAAAGAGAAAGCAGTTCACACACAAGTATTTTGTGAAGTATTTTGCATCTGAGAGCTCTCCTGGGTGGGATTGAAAACACTTTTTTTTTGCAAGAAGATGGAATTTTGTAGACAAAAGGTGGCCAAACCTCCACTGTCAGATAATCAAGACTGCTCTTCCTTCCTTCCAGGGGTTCCTACACACTGGGATAATGATCGAATCTGACCAAGGCAGGGATGGGTTCCATATTGCCAGGAGATCAAAGGCAAATGGAGAATGAAACAAAAAAATTCCATTGTTATAAAGGAGAGGAAGCCCTTGAATACAATATATCCCATGCACAATGCTCCATTATGGTCTGAACTGCCAGTATGCTCTACTTTTAATGCTATTCATTTCCATATTAAAAAGAAGAGCTGCTGCAGGCCACATCTGGTCTTCAAGAACACTTAATTATCCTGCCCGGCAACCTCTTTCTTTTCAAACACTTCACTGGCAGGCTAACACTTCATATTCAAACTGGAAGTAATTCCAAGCCCAGCCACAATGACTTAAGGTAAACTGGGGCACTGCCTTACCTGCCTACTTAATTCCATAACCTTTGCCTTTTAATAAAAGAGACCAGCATCTTTTAATTTCTGTTTTCAGATAGCATCAGAAATAATAAGAGAACACTTTGGTCCAGGTAAGAGTGTCTGTTCACATCTCCTGATAGATTAAACAAGGAGTTCTTACACCAGAAAGTAGAACACACAGGCCTCACTCTGATGAAGAAAAATGTTAATTTTATCTCCTATATAATGTGCATTTTTTCTCAGATGGTGTCCAAACCGGTACTCTGCAAAGTCAGGAGCAGCAAAGACTGTATGCCATGTTAGACAGCTGGACACAGCATTTCTCTTTTAACCTAATTGTACTGCCAGGCATCATTCCCAGTGAGGTCAGTGATGAACAATAATGCACTTGCAGGGCAAATATGAGGCATTTTCAAATGGTAAAACCCATTCAGCCAGCAAGGGAACACATAAGAAATCTTGTGGTCATGAACAGGGAGGATAGGGAGGACCAGATAGAAAAATCTAAACCATAAATGCCCAAATTCAGGAAGAAGCCTTTCTTCTCACAGGGGATTCAGATATTATCGTGACTAGCTCCATTCCCTTCCCTCTGGGAGCTTACACAATTAGAAACACACCCTTGCAGTCTGTCTGACTCAACTAGCTCTGAGCCAGGCTTCTCTCCTTAACTGCAGGTTCCAAACTCCTTATTATACTGGAATTTTTCATGTAAAATTAAAACTGCAAAATAAGCTCCTTATCACAACATAATTAATGGAAAATTGTTGCACTTGCAGTCACAGTGGTTTGGAAGTTCAGGTGCTTGTGTAATGGGAGGTTTAGTGTTCATGAGTGGTTTCAGATTCACAGTTTTGGAAACCCAGTTCCCTACAAATCATGGCATCACCAACAATCAAATGAGCTTCTCTACACACTGTCCTTCACCAAAACCCTCAGCCATGGCCTGCTGGAGGAGTCAGAGTCACTGGCCAACGGTCCTTGGCTCACAGTATCAAAGGAAAAGAAGAAAGTGCTGATTTCTTGGGACACAAGTTGGCACTCACTAGACTACAGCTCCAGCACCACCAGTGCACACCACAGAGATCATCGAAGGTCAGATCATACCACTCTCCAGTTACCATCACACTGCACCCAAACCACTGCCTGCAGGAAACAGGATCCATCAACCCAAACCCATCAAAACACTCATCCTTGACTTCAGGCCATTTTAACAGCAGCTCCTAACTTGCCTGAGCCCAGTACAGACAATCTGACTGTAGAAATCTTGAATTAGTGAATTGCAGCTTTCCAGTGTAAACATGATTAGTCATCAGTCATGTACCTATGACAGTTGCCTATGCAGCTATTTCACAACCCTGTATTAAAATAAAGGAATATTTCCTTATCTAGCAGCCATGTTCCAAGTCTTGTTTCTGCTGGTGAAATATTACTCTGCCTTTTCCTATCTCCACTCCATTAGGGGGTGTGTAATGGCACCAAACTCATCTGCAAAGGCACAGGGAAGGAAGAAGGGTAGAATTCACTTATTCAAAGGACAGAATTAATCTTGAGGTTATTGTAAGACAGGTTCATTTGAAAGTGCCATATGAAGATAAAAATCTATCAGAGGATCAAAGCTGCAGCCTCATACTATGCAGCTCCTTTTATGTCACTGTTTAAGCTTCAGATGTGGGCTTGCTAATGTGAGGATCCCCACCAGGGAGGAGAGGACACCGCAGAAACCAATCACTCCTGGGTTGGTCTTGTAGATTCCCAGTGTATCCAAAGGGCCTGAGAGATCACAGAGGTTCTTCACCAAGTCCAGCAGCAAAGGAGGATTTCTTTTCAGGATCTGAAAGAGCAGGAGGAGAAAACCGCGCGAACCATCACATTTCACACGGTTTAGCTCCCCGTTGTGTTTGTCCCAGCAGGAATTCTCCTTTGCCTTTTCTTCCTGTGCAGCTTGTTCCAGCTTCTGGGAGATCTCATACCAGTCCCTGGCTAGATTCAGAAGGACTGAGTAGTAGTAGCACTTGGTGGCCCAATTGCTCCACTTGGGCTTGTCGATGTCGGGCTGGAGCCCGACGCTCCTCACCCAGAGCACGGCGTCGCACACGAAGTACAGGGCACGGGTCAGGTTGGAGGCTGTGAGGCAGAAACGAGGAACCACATCTGGCAGCTCTGCAGTTTTCCTGGCTGCCACCAAGGCGTGCACCATGTTGCCCAGCCTGAACACTGCAAGAAACCCCACAAAGGTTAGCAAGGCCTGGTCTTATGCAGGACAACGCGGCCTGTCACTGTCCACATGTGCTTTAAAAAAACTTGGAGGGCTTTGGGTGTTTGTATGCTTAAGTGCTTTCTGGTATTAGTGAGGAATGGGGTCTAAACATCTCAAGTCTGTGTGAACATCATGAGCCCAGGACCTACACACATATTTTGTCAATAGCCAGACTTGCAGCCCCTCCTGCCACTGTGTTCTCAGCGCCTGGGTGTCCTCTGGACCAGTGTCACCCTTGGGTCTGCAGGAGTCACTGTCAGCAACAAGGGGACACAAACAGAGCCTCTAATCTTAGCTGTACGTTTCACTGGATTTCACCTAACTCTGTGGACACGAGATGTTGCTGCATTAATCCTATTGCAACCAGGAGCTTCAGCTTTCCTAAGCATTTGTGAAAGCTGGTGATTCGCATGCTGAGCACAAATCCCTCCCATGAATTTGTCAGAGACACATAGTTCCCTGCAAACTGTGTGGAACAGTGTATTCCATTTCAAGCTACAATATAAGGCATACCTGAGTTCACCTGTGGCATGTCCCCGTGAATGTCAATGCAATATTATGCAAAACACTTTTTACACCCTGCTGCACTGTCACAGTGACAGATGTTGGTAGCACCTGAGCTTGGTGGAACTACCAGAACCCTGAGTTTAGGCCTGATGTCTATTAGTGATTTGTTTAGAAGAAGCAAGAGAATTATGGCTCTGTTGATAAACCAGCTGGCCTCTCCACTAGAAAATGCCATAGTCTGGAGCAAACTGGAATAATAAACAAACCCATGGCAACACGTTAAATTAGAATATTTGCTTCATGCGTTGCAGCTGTTCCAGAATTGAGCAACTGGTAAGTAGGTGTAAGATCAGCCTGAAAGCAAGTGATACAACTACAGCAACAGCGTAACCATCGTGGATGCAGCCCTGACACAGAATGGAGTGATGCAAACAGACTGTGAGGAAAGCATGGAGGGTAGGTGATTTAGTAGAGTATAAATGCTAGAGAAAATTAATATGTGAAGTAGGACATAAAAAAAATTATATATAAAAAGCCATATTGAAGGATGGTCCTTCAGAGCTGATTTTATTGGGATGATGATCTTTAACTCTGGGTTGTCTCAGCCCATCAGCTGGAAGGACTAATGAGCACACAGTTGGACAGCCTTGCCTTGTAACTCTGGTCTGTCCTTGAACAGAGATGACAACTCCACCTCTGCAGCAAACTGACTGTTAACTTTTGTTACTCT